CTGGCGGTGGAACATGAAGCCGTTGATCAGGATGGACCACGTGTAGACACTGGGCGGCGGGTGGTGGCCACCGTGGACTGACGTGGCGGCAGCGGCAGATCCCCCCTCTTTGTCGGCCTCAAGAGCAGCCGCCGCATCACGAAGCATATCGCTAACAACATCAAGGGCTGCCCGCAGCATGCCCTCAAACTCTGTCAGCGCCATGACAACGCAGTCGTGCACCTGCGAGCTCTGGTCACGCACGAGGCGTGTTGCCATCGGGTCGCCTGTTTGCAGCAGGCGGCGGAAGTGCGTATAGAACGTAATCACGTCATACGGATTTGAGAGGCCCTGGATGTAACCGAGCACCATCGTGGCCAGGGTGGAGCCCGTTGGCTCGACCAGCTCGACGGGCGACAGCTTCGGCAGACTGCGCACAGTGGGTGCCAGCTGGGCCGCAAACTCCCAGTGTCTGTTCGACGGGATGTTGGTTCCAGCGCCCAGCCGGCTGCTCGACCCGTTCCTGCTGGCACCAGACGAACTGGAGGCAAAATCGGCGGCCGCGACAAAGTCCAGGTTGACATCTGGCAGCAGCTTGCGCAGCGGTGCCAGCTCGAACACGCGGGCGTACGCCTGGACCATGAGCGGGAACGCCGGAATGACGCGTGGGCGTTTTAACTGTCGATCCCTGCGCGCCTCGTTCAGTGCAGTCGTGTAGATGGCCTGCAAGAAGTCGTTCCACAGAAACGGATGGCGCACGCCGTGCGCCGCGGCCGACTGGGCCACCTGTTGGATGATGGGGTAGTTGCAGCCGATTTTGGCGCCGTTCATCAGGATGGAATAGACAAAGGCGTCGGGCTCCGTCTTGGCCTCGCTGAGCATGAGCTGCAGCACCTGGAGGGCGGCGTCGAGCTCCTGCTTGAGACACAGTCCGCGGATGATGGTCGTGTACGTGATGAGGTTGGGTTCGAGGCCGCACTGCAACAAGAGCTCGAACAGTTCCGCAGGCGTGGCCGCCGGTGTCGAGTGGCTGGACCCAGTCTCGGCCGCCTCTACCGAGTCACCCTCGCCGGCCGTCAAGATAGCCGTGCAGAGCGCGGCGCCCTGCGGTGTGTTGATGTCCAGGTCCGTCTCGGCCAGGGCCCTCTGCAGCACGTTGACAGCGAGTGTCTTGTGCTCTGGGCGCGGGCTGCCCGCCAACCGGCCAGCGATCTGCAAGCGTGTATTCTTGTGCATCGGGTGCTGGTACCGGACGAGATCGTGATACAGATCGGCCACATTGTCGAGCGAGCTGGCCAGCATGCGCGTGAAGAGATACAGTGATGACTGGCGCAGGCGCAAGTAGTCGGGTGGGCTCTTTTCAAGCACATACCGCAGCACGGAAAGCAGATCCTCGGCTGCAGGGGTGTCGAATGGAATGATGGCCTTTTCACGCACCTTCGGACTCTCACGCATGTGAAGCAAGAAATTGATCGTGTCTTCGGCCATATACGACGGCACCACATCCACATCAAACGTGGCCTGGAAGATGAGATGCGCACGGCCCGGGTACGTTCGAAGGGCTGCCACCATCAAATGCGGCCATTCGTCACACTGCCGCTTGGTGGACCAGCCCAGGGCCGCCCACGCGGTCCTGATGCTGTCGACGTTTGGGCTGCTTGCGCCTTCTGTCTCGGCCTTTCCCTCTCGGTGTGCTGGTTCCAAGATGGACTGCAGAACAGAGCTCTGGCTTCCCTCATGCGGTAGCCGTCCGTCCTCCAGAAGATTCCAGGTCTCGGCCACGGCACTCTTCCATCCCCAGAACACAGACTTGGCCTTTGCAAAGTCGACGCCGGACCGCTTTCGCCACAAGCCGGCCATGTGGCTCTCTGGACGCGGCAGCCATGCTGGCGGCCGAAGCTTCATCCTCTGTCTCTTAGGGAGAACATATCGCCACTGTGGCACATCGCTTGTCTGTGTCGAAGTGTTTTCTCTTGATGCGTTTGCCGTTTGTGGTTGCTGCTGCTGCTGCTGCTGCAGCACAGCAAATGGATCTGTTGCCTTCCTCGATCGTTGCAGAGACCTTTGTGGTCTTGGATCCGTGATTTGATGTGCTGAAAAATCCGGAGCGCTTGTCTCGCCCTCTGACAAGCCAAACACAGCTTGTTCTGCGGCGGTCCAGAGGCGCAGATGCCGAGCCCGGGACTTGGTCTCTGGTCTGTCAGAGGCAGCTGCAGGCGCAACCGTCGTCAGCGGCCGTCTAGCTTCCTGCGCTTGGCGGCGCACACCCCGAGCAACTGTCGCCGGCGACGAACGCCATGTCTGCCAAAGCTGCTGCTGTTGTCGCCAGAGCTGCAGCCGAATGCAAGGACACGGCTGCATTGCGGCCGTCTTGAGGTGTCGCTGCAAGAAAGACAACAATGAGAGAACCTTGTTAAAAGGCGCTCTGTCGTGTACTGTCCATGTGGCCGTTGTGGAACGGGCAGTCGCAAAATCGACAAGTCAAAGTCGGGTGGTGAGGTTCAAGAAGTGTCGTCGAAAGTTTAATCGGCTGTGGCTAAACCTGCAAAAGAGTGGCGCTAGCTGTCTGCTTTTGGCCGCTGCGGCTGTTGCAAAATTCTTGCGCGCTGTAACCCTGGCGCTTTGTCTGGCGCATTTTCGAGCCAGAGGCACTAGAGCCAACGACCAGTCTGGACATGCACACCTTCGCTCCTGTCTGAACTGAAGGGCAACCGCAAGAACGACACCCACATTTGCACACCAGGACGATATCTTCTCCCTTCCCGAACGCCTTCACCACCCGTGTTGTCGCCTGTCTACACATATCTCCATCGCCTTTCCCTAATGTCGTCCCACGCTGCGCTCAGCGCCGCTGCCGACGACCGCAAGGCTCGGCTCGCCAAGCTGCGATCGATCAAGCGCAAGCAGCCCGGCGACGAGATTGTGCCACCAGAGTCGGACCGCGCGTCACCCGCTGTTGTCACGCAGCCGAAAAGCCATGGCGACGAGACGGGCGAGGAGGGGAATACAGGAGAGATTCGAGAGGCTGGCGAGATGGCCGTTGAGCGCGACGTGTCTCGACTGCACTTGTCCGGACGCAACTACGACCCAGAAACCCGCAATGCCCGGCTCGGCTTCGAGGTCGAGCCCAATCTGGCGGCCGGCGATGACACAGTCGAGGCCCAGGCCGCCAAACTCGAGGCAGATGTGCGGCGGGAACAGCAGGAGGAAGAGGGCGGGGACGGCGAAGGTGCAGATGGCGACGCACGACCGCACGACGGCGGCGGCAAGCCCATCGACCTCTTCAAGCTGCAGCCCAAGAAGCCCAACTGGGATCTGAAGCGCGAGCTAAACAAGCGTCTCGAGCCGCTGAATGCGCGAACCGACAATGCGATTGGCCGGCTGGTGCGTGAACGGCTGGCCGCCAAGCAGCAGCAGCAGCAGCAGCAGTCGTCCAAACAAGCCGCAGCCTCAAACCAGCCCAAGGCATCAGCCATCACCGGCGAGGCAGACGAAAGCGGCCTCGATGGTGCAGCTCTCGTGGAGGGCATCCGGTTACGCGAGCAGGAGGCCGAAGAGGAGGAACGGCGCGAGCGCGAGCTGGAGGATGAGGGTGAGGCATAGTCGGGCCGCAGGAGAGCGCAAACGGGCATACTACAGGGCGTTTAGGGGAACGGCGAACTGCACATGTACGATACTTGTTTTCGGTCCTGACTTTTACGTTTTGATTTCACCTCTACCGCAAGAAATGCCAGCCATATATGTGATACCCACTGCTTGGGCCCCTTCTGTGTATTGTCATCTTGTCCAACCGCCGCTGCCGCTGTTCACTTCCCCGACTTCATGTGTTTGGTTAGAGCTAAGCGCTTGCTAAACGGGCTGAGACTGCGCTGCCGGCCACTACGGTCGTCGTCACGATTCGTCTGTTCCCGTCCACGTCCTGCGTCCGGCTGTCGATGCCTGTCTCTGCGATCACCGTCGCCGCGCGTGTCGGTATCGCGCTGCCTGTACGAGCGTCGATCGTCTCTCTCCCGAACGGGCGACCGCGAGCCGTCTCGGTAGCGTCGCCGGTCTATCGAGCCCCGGTCCGCCCCATCCTCCTGGCCGAAAAAGTCTGACGATTTCATTCTGTCATCGTGCGGCCGCGCCGGCCGCTGTTCTCGTTCAGTTACCCGACTGGCCGGTGGTGGAGACGGCGATCTGCTGCCGCGCGACGAAGAATACGACGACGCCGAGCGTGAGCGTGAGCGTGAGCGCGACGGTGACCGGGAATCCACCGAGGCTGATCGTCCGCGGCCGCTCGGTGGATTCGGAGCTGCTGCAGCCGCTGGCGGAGAGCCACGGCCCGACGCCGAGCCGGAATCGGGGTCTGAGTAGCTTGGCGACCGACGCCGCCGGTGGCTGCTCGGTTTGCCCTCGGGATGTCGCCGGCGCGCTGCCGCAGAGTCGTCGGATTCACTTCCACTGCTGCTCAAGCTGACGCTTTTGCTCGTCCGCCGCCGCTTCAAGGCCCGCTCGGCCTCTCTCTTGGCCAGCTCCTCATCGGCCACGCCTTTTCTGCAAAACGTAAGTCAGCACACAAGGAAGACAGTACACCGGATGAGAAAGCAAGCACTAGTCGACCAGACGACATACTTCAACTCGAGCGCATTAAACGTCTCTTCATGCAACTTGGGCGCCAGCTTCGGGTTTCGCAGCTGCTGGGACCGTGACGGCCGGGCCTTGTACGGGCGGTCCTGCGGTGCGACCTTGCACTCGTACGAGTAGTGGCGTAGTCGACGTCAGCAAAAGACCAAACAGCGCGTGCGGATAAAACAACATCAACTTATCTCGTTTTAAGCATTTTTGGCAGAGGACGTCTGTCGGCGTCGTTTTCGGCGGTCCACGGCGTGGATACATTGTGATTATGGGCGGACAAGCTGGGTGAATCTAGTAGCTGTTGTTGACGGATGTTGGGAAGAATTAACATTGGATTTTTTTAGGAAAAAACCGTTTGCTATTGGGGTTCTATAACTCAATCGCAGTAGTTGGTGATGTTGCGCTTAATGCTTGATGCACGTTAAAGTGGTGGAGCCCCAGCTACAAGGCAAAACAATAGGAGCGGAAGTGCTAACTGGTTTCGCACGTGATTCGATTTGAATTGCACCAAGGAAATTTTGGGCGCCCGGTCCCATTTGCCGGGCAGAAAACAGGAAAGTGGGGCCCGGCCAGGATCCCCAAGACAGCCAAAGACAGAAGGAGCAGACGACCGCCTTCTGGAAAGCAGAGGTTCCACCCTTTCCAATCCAACGGGCGTGCTGCTCCTTCTCTCTTTGGCTTTTGGCCTTTGCTCTTTCCATTTCATCCTCACAACCACCAAAGCCCACACAATCTGCCTCCACAAAATATCCAAGCATCGTCTCTTTGCATCTGAACCATCACCAACTTTGCATCAACACAAACAATCCACCCGCGACATCCGCCCTGCAACCCCCTGGTCTGCAGCAGCTGCGGCGTTTCCCTACCCCCGTCTACAGCCAGCTTTTCCTTTCGCACGCTCCAGACGGCTGCTGCTCCAGCGGCATGGCATAGCTTCCAGCGGCTGACGGCTGCCCGGGTTTTGTTTCTTTTTTTGTTGACTTCTTTACGACGATTCTTTGCCCTCGTCTCATTCGTGCATTTTTCATTCCGTATCATCTCGTCTCTCTCACGGCACACTACGGCCTGGCACCTCCTCTCCCCCAACGACTGGCGACAACGATGACCTCCTGCGTGTGCTTCCCCGTCCCCTCTACCTTTATGAATTTTGTGCCCTGAAATCTTGTCTCCCTCCGCCATTCTCTGCATCAGGTCTTTCGTAGACATTACGTCCATCTGGCCTCGTGCTCGGTTGCGCCGCAGCTCGCTTTCACACAAAAAGAAGTCGATTCCCAACAGCATCATTCGCCCTTATATCTGCCGTCACCGCTATCATTTTTATTTACTTCTGTCTTCTACTGTCCTCGTTCCTCCTACTTCGACTACTCTATACATTGGCAGCGACTCGCATCGGCGGTCTATACGACGACGACATCAGCTGTAGTATTTACGGACGCCGTTGCAAACTGACAACGAGTCTGATTGCTTCTTGTTCTCGTCACCAATCTCAGCAGACTTTATGATGGCGACAGAAACGGGAAAGATGTCTTTTGCCAAGGTTCGTTTCGTCTTTTGTCAAGGACTCGTTAGTGCATCTTGGTCTTGACAGGAAACTAACTACATCTGCTCTACTACTAGGTGGCCGCGTCTGCATCGAAAAAGGATCTGCCAACGACTACGATGTCCCAACAGGACTCCTCCAAATCCCGGCACGATAGCGCACCCAATGCCGCCAACGGCAAGCCTTCCCCATCGACGGGTAGTGTCAAGCCGCCGAAGAAGCCGGTTGCTATCCCAGAAAAGCCAGCGGCCTCAACACCAGCTGTCCCAAAGAAGACAGAGGCAGCGACGGCAGGGAAGTCCGTTGCAGACGGCTTAGCGGAGCTGCAAATCGCCCCTACAAACCCAGGTCTGGTGCTGGATGATGCCACCCTGGATGCGGCTGCCGACGGGCAGGCAGGCACAGCTGGCACGTCGAGCACCGCTGCGAGTGCTGCCGTCAGTGCGGCTGCTAGCGCCACAGCCAGTGCCAACCAGACCACGCCGTCTTCGTCTGACGATGTGTCGCAGAAGGCGGATTCCAGCTCCGATCTGGACACGAAGCCGCCGAGTCTGGACGGCAAGAGCATCACATCCGGGACGACGTTTAATGCTCTCGACGAAAAGGAGTCGCTGCGCCCGGACGACAGCGCCAGCGTGAAGGCGGCCGCCGACGAAGACGACTCGTTCTCAGTCCGTCGGTCGTTGCTCGTGTCCTCGCGCATGGGGTCGGATGTGGCTGCGCGCGTCCAACGCATCCAGCTCGGCGACATGCCACCCCGCCTCGTCCCACTCACTAGCCAGGAGCCCGCGGTGTCGGGTGTGGCGACCCCGCACAGTATCTCGTCCGAGCAGCAGCCCGTGACGGAGGCCCGTGTGCAGCTGGCCACCAGCACGTCCACGCCCGGCGGCCTGAACGGCCAGAACCCCGACGAAAAGCTGCTCGATGCCATGGCTTCGCAAAAGAACCGCGTCTTCCTCCTCCGGCTCGAGAGCGAGGTCGTCGATTTTGTGCAGAACTCAAAGGAGCCCTTTATGGACCTGCCGCCGAGCAACTCATTCTGCCGCATGCTCACGCACAAGCTGGCCGACTACTATCACATGACGCACTCCTTTGAGGCTGTGGCCGGCTCAGTGCGCATCTACCGCACGCCGTTCTGTCGCGTGCCGCCGCCTCTGGCCAGCTTCGTGCCCGTCAACACACCCGAGAGCACGAACGCTCCCCCACAGATTGTCAAACCGAGGAAGATTATGCGGCGTGGCGAGGAGTTCGACCAGCCGGCGAGTACCGGCCCCTCCAAGCCCACGTCTGAAGACGGCAGCGACTTGAAAGAAAAGGCACCGCCTGCCAAGGAGAAGATGACGCGCGAAGAGCGCGAGGAAGCCTACAACAGGGCCAGGGAGCGCATCTTCGCCATGCCCACCGAATCGTCCACGCCCGAAAACGACGACGGTACCGGCATCTCGCGCGCCAGCTCCGTCTCCGCCAAAGACAAGGCTGCCCAGGGCAAAAAGGCCAAGACGGCCAAGCAACGCCGCGACGACTCGGAGAGCTTCGACTCGCGCTCGCAGTACACCCCATTCTACCACCACTCACAACAGGCCACCTGGGTCAACCCGCAGTTTATGCCAACAGGAAACCTAGCGAGCTTCCCCTACAATGCCCAGCAGCAGCACCAGCAGCAGCACCAGCCGAACCAGCCGACTCAACCGAACCAGCCGAACCAACAGCCACACGGGCCGCAGTATCCAAACAACATGCAACCGCCAATTGCATACGGCACACCGCAGACCGCGTATCCGCCTGTCGTTTCCAGCAACGGCCCTGTCCCACCGGCAAATGGAATGGCTCATGTGTGTACTTATCCATGCTCTCATATACACCCGTCTTTGAATGTAACTCTACTAACGCATCCTTCTAGTATCCCCCCCAACCTGGCCCGCCACACCATCCCGGGTCGCAAAATGGACCACACCCATATCTCTACGGACCTTCTGGACAACCAGGCAATGCAGCACCTCCACAGCACTGGCAACAGCACCAACAGCCCCAAATGCAGCCGCAGCCTTATAACAACGGCGCTGCCTACCCATCGCCACAAGCGCGGTCGGTAGCTCCGAATAGTGCCCTCCCAGCTGGCATGACCTACGCGTACGGCCAACTGCCGGCGCATTACAATCCTAACGACCCAAAGGCGCAACATCCCATCCCCGGCAGCTACGCCGGAACGTATACCCGCCATGGCTTCAACCCCAAGACGCAATCGTTTGTGCCAGGAACGGGCCCGATGGCGATGCCCATGGCGATGCCAATCCCGATGGCCGGTCCCCACGGCGCATATGGCGCGACCAACGGTCCTGGGCCTGTGCCGATGGGAATGAGCCCTGGGCAGAACCAAGGCAGCATGCCCTATAACAACGGCGGCTATCAGCAGCCCAGTCTGTCGACGTCGCCGTACGGCAGCAGCACGACATCGAGCTATGGCATGATGCGCCAGGGATCAGGAAGCTCCACGTCCGCCTACCCGATGGGACAGCAGCCGTACCCAGGGCCTGTGGCCTACCATGACCCATATGGCAACACCCTGGCACACGGACCGCCACTCCCCGGCGCACCTGGCCCTGGCCATCTTCCGCCTCCGCACGGCCCGCCACATGCAGTTCCCCTTGGCGCTCCCCTTGGCGCTCCACGAGGACCATCTCATTACAAGATGAATGCTCCGCACAGTGCCGCCCAGGGGCCCAAAAAGTCAAACGGTGCACCAGCGCCAAAGGGGCCTGGCCAGTCGAATGGCACATCACAGAGCCAAAAGGGTTCGGGCCAGGCGTATGGAAACCTGCCCAACTACGGCAATCCGGCAACCCTGCCGCAGAAGCCCACGTCTGCATAACGGAGCCTTAAGCCGCACAGCGGAACGCGCTCCTATGAGACTATGCTTCTTATCTGATTTTTTCAACTGTCATTTTTACAACCTACGGGAGTGCTCTGGTCCCTTTGAATCTCACGGGAGTGGACACTGAGATTTGGCGTCATGGAAGGAGCGGCTGCATCATGGCGTTTCTACTCATTTTTCTTATTTGTTATTCATTCCTCTTCTTCTTTTCTCATATTACTTTACCCTTTAATTTGATCATGTCGTCAAGACAGCGCCTGGCATTTGTTTGGTGTCAGAAGCGGTCAGAGCGAGGAACATAGGGAGGCAGGCGGTGGTGTCTAAAATCGGCACGGCGAATTTGGCGTCTCAACGACACAAAATGAACTTGTTTCTACCCGGGATACAGGGGAAGACGAGACTAGGATAAACCTGGCTGCATCGCCGGACAGCACGGAGTAATGAAAAAACAGCATAATTTGGCACAGTTCTTGTCCTCGGTATATTTTTATTTCATAAAGTAGTACGACATTGAGATGATGAATAGTTTTCATTGTTTTTTTGCTGAGTCCGTAAGTTCTACCTCGTCCACTCAACGCCTTGGACACTGGCCCCAGGCCAGGCCCATCTGACACCTGATGTGGTTGTAGACTTCTCCAGCCAGACCAAAGAGATTATCCGTCCAGTCTCCCATAGCCCGTATCATTTGAAATCGTGTATTCTCTCCGTTCTTCTCGCTTTTGTTTCGTTTTGCTCGTTGTCCATAAACCTCGCAAAAGAATGCAAAACAAGCAAGAATGACGACAAGAAAACCCCCAAAACTCTGGTTGGAAAAGAAAACGACATACAGGAAAATAGAAACCAGTAAACAGATAAAAAAGGCACCCAATGTAATTTTGACCCACACTTTTTATGCTCTTCTTTGTCACGTGTTTCTTGTCGTTTATGTTTTTCTTCAAATCATAAAACAAAGAAAAACACTCGCATACTCTGCATCCTTCGCCTACTCCGCCGGCTCGCGCGGCTCCCTTGGCTCTCTCGGCTCTCGTGGCTCACGGGGCTCTCGTGGCTCACGGGGCTCACGGGGCTCGCGCTGCTGTCCGCCTCCCCGGCCACCGCCCCGGCCGCCCCGCTTGCCGCCGCGCTGGCCGCCGCTGCCGCGCTCGCCCTTGCCCTCGTCGCCCTCCTTCTTCTCGCCGTCCTTGTCGCCCAGGTTCAGCGTCGACGTTGCCAGGCGCTGCGACAGGTCGATCTGGGTGCGGATGGTGTTGGTCAGGTAGGACACCATCAAGACGTCCTGGATGTGGTTGTTGAAATCGTGCTCGATGCTGGCGCTGTCGACCTTGGGCGCCAGCGACATGGCGTTCATCAGGTACTGGCCCAGCGCGTGGTTGGGCTCGCGCTCCTCGTCGAGCACGCCGCTGACAAACTCGGACGTGCGGTCCAGCAAGTCCAGCGTCTGCTCGATGCTGCGGGCGAGGGCCTCGACGTCGGCGACGACCGGGGCGGAGCGCGATTCGAGGTTGGCGGGGGCGGCGGCCGCAGCAACGGCCTCGAGGGCCGAGCGGTCGGCATCACCGTACAGCAGGCGGTGGGGCACCTCGGCAAAGAAGCAGGAGTCGGCGGCGCGGTCCGGGCTGGCGGCGACGGGCGACGAGACGTAGCAGCGGGTCTCGATCTCGCTGCCGGCCTCGGTGCTGATGGTCAGATGCACGGCGGGGTGGGGGAAGGTGCCGGTGTCCGGGGCGGCGAAGAAGTTCTGGATGAGGGCCGAGAAGGAGTTGAGCTCGTGCGAGGTGGTATACCAACCGAGCAGCGACTCCCGCGGCGCGGCCTTGAGGGTCAAGGCCAGCATGTTCTTCTGGTACTCGACGTCGACCTCGACCTGGTCGTCCGTCTCGGTGTGCGGAATGGCGAAGCACGAGCGCACCTCGGCCTCGAGGCCGTCCTCGGACCGGACACCAACAAGCGCGCCAATCACGCGCGTGGACTGCGTCGACGAAGTCTCTCTCCGAACAGCATGATCGAGGATGGACACAATGGCCTATGGAAGAGGACAGACGCGGGGAGTCAGATACATATAGCCATGCGACGGGGAGGGGGGTGAGGAAGAGGGAGGAGAAACGACGGCAAGGAGAAGCACAAGAAAGGACGACCTACCTGGGGCTGGATGGTGACGGTGATGGGCGAGACGTTGGCACTGAAATTCGCGGACGCCGCAGGCACGACGGGACGCGCCAGGTGGAGGAACTGCTCCTTCTCGAGAGCCATGATTGCGGTTGCGGGTCGGCGATCGATAAATGAAATGGGTCGTCGATGAAGAGGGGCGAAAGGCAAAACACGCGATGCTGTGTGCGGCGGTCGAACTGTGAAAATAATGGCGATGCGGGACGATAAATGACGCGAAACAATGGCGAACGTGATGACGACGCTTTTTGGGGCCGGAAAATGGGGGTCAAGGGGTGTCGTTGGAGAGGGCTGAGGGCGTCCCTTTTTCGCTAGCTGGCCGCTGTTGAACAGAGGACGTTGGAAAATCGTGCAGAATTAATTTTGAGGGCATTCGCATTTGCTGGTGGGGTTTGTTGTGCGCGCTAAGATAAGGCAGATAAGAGAAAATGTGGCGCAGATTGTGGCACTTTTTTTTTGAACGACGAGGCTGCAGGGTGTCGGTCGATCCTGCCCATTTATATGAGAATGCGCCTATGAGATCAGCGCTTGTGCAAGCATTTTCACTGCTGTTGAGGAAGGTGCAAATCAGCAGCACAACAACACAGACTAAACTTCTCACCACCCATACATCAGCCATGGGCCCTGGACCGAAATTTCGCGGCCGCGGTGGCCCACGAGGAGGTGGTGCCCGTGGAGGCGGTGCGCGAGGCGGCGGTATGCGCGGCAGTGACCGGGGAAGCCGTGGCCGTGGCAGAGGTCGCGGCAGAGGAGCACGAGGACGTGCCCGGGCAGCTCGTTTTGACAGCTCTCGTCTTGCTGCACAAGAGGAGTAAGTTTAGAGCGGCGATTGGTTTGTTTTGTTGATTTCATGATTCATGACATGAATAGATTAATAAATAAGGATACAAATACCCATACTAACGTTGTTGGCAGCGCGGACGGACAAGAGTCTGAGCCCGAGTCCCTAAGTGAGGACGAGGTCGAATCGGATATTGAAGAGTCTGAGGAGGAGTCTGACTCTGAAAAGAAAAAGGAGGCCTACCGGTCACTGATGCGCAGCTTCGAGAGCCGCTTAGCTGCAGCGCCGGCGGCTAAGCGGCGAAAGCTGGAGCACGGCACCATTGCAAAGGCAGCTGGGGATGAGAGCAACGATGAGGATGGCGTGGAAGATGAAGAGGAGGAGGAGGAGGAGAGCCGTGGTGACGACGACGACGGTGAAGACGGGGACGATGTCGAGGGTGAGGAAGGCAAGGATAAGGACGTCGAATATATGGACGAAGACGACGAAGATGACGAAGATGCCGAAGACCGCCTAGACATGGACGGCAATGCCGACCACGGCGACGATGACGACGAACTGGTGGACACAACAGACCCCTTTGAGTCGCATTACTCGGCACCGGACCTCAAGGACGTCGAGTTGCGGCTGGAGGCCATCCAGGCCGACAACTGGGCCACGTCCAAGACCAAAACCAACGACACACGCCAAATCTTCACGCTGCCGCAAACAGCAGCGGCCGACTCGTTTTCTGCGCCTCCGCCAGTGAAGACACCACAGCAACTGAAGCTGAAAAAGCGCCTGGCAGACATCAACACAGCGGCGTTTGGCCAGGTCGAGCAGACCGTGGCACCTCTGCTGTTCAACTACTACGACACTCTATTTTGCGAGCGAAACCCGCAGAATGGCGATTCCCTGCGGAAGCTCGCTAGCTTGCACGCTGTGAACCATGTTTTCAAGTATGTCACTGCACCCTCAACGGTTGGCCATTCTCCATCATTCGTTCGCAAATAGTCTAACATGCCAGAACTCGCGACCGCGTGATGAAGAACAACGAGAAGCTGGCCAAGATTGCACGCAGGAAGCAAGAAAACGGCGAGGAGACGGACGACGAAGACGACACGGAGGATGGTGCATGCCGCGATCAGGGGTACAACCGGCCCAAGGTGCTCATCTTGCTGCCGACACGCCAGTCCTGTGCACGCATGGTGGATGCCATCTGCGCCGTGTGCCGCCCCGAGCAGCAGGAGAACCGCAAGCGGTTTGACGATGCATACGTCGACAAGAGCTCGACCATTCCGGAGGACCGGCCAGCCGACTTCCGTGACCTGTTTGAGGGCAACGACGACGACATGTTCCGCCTGGGCCTCAAGTTCACGCGCAAGACGGTCAAGTACTTCTCGCAGTTTTACAACTCGGACATTATCCTCGCCAGCCCGCTCGGTCTGCGCATCGCCATGGGCTCCGAGGACACGCTGGCGACGTCGCTGGCAGAGTCGAAGCGCAAGGGCAAGCCCAAGACGGACTATGATTTCCTGAGCTCCATCGAGCTGGTGCTGCTGGACCAGGCTGATGCGCTGCTTATGCAGAACTGGGAGCACGTCGAGCACATCTTCAGCCACCTCAACCTGCTGCCGCGCGACAACCACGAGTACGACATCAGCCGTCTGCGCAGCTGGTACCTGGACGACCGCGCCAAGTACTACCGACAGACGGTGGTCTTCTCCGCCGTGCACACCCCGGCGCTCTCGGAGCTGTTCCGGCGCTTCTGCCATAACTGGGCGGGCCGTGTGCGCGTGCAAGCGGCAGAGTACAAGGGCGTCGTGGGGCGGATCGGCGTGCGCGGCGTCAAGCAGACGTTCTCGCGCTTGGAGTCGCCGAGCATCGAGGCGGAGCCGGATGCGCGCTTCGACTACTTCACCAAGGCGGTGGTGCCGACGCTGATTGCCAAGACGCGCGGCGGCAGCGGCAGCACGGCCGCCCACGGCAGCAGCGGCGTGCTGGTGTTTATCCCGTCGTACCTGGACTTTGTGCGGGTGCGCAACTGGTTCGCAACGTCGGTGGCCGTGGCCCACGTGACATTTGGCGCCATTTCCGAGTACGCGTCGGTGCCGGAAGCGTCGCGGGCCATGTCGCACTTTTTGACGGGCCGCCACCGCGTGCTGCTGTACTCGGAGCGCGCGCACCACTTCCGGCGGAACCAGATCAACGGCGTGCGCACCGTCATCCTGTACGGACTACCGGAGAACCCGACGTTCTACACAGAGGTCACGGGCGGGTTCCTGGCACGCAGCCAGCGCAGCCAGAAGCTGGAGCCAGGCCAGGGCAAGGTGCGGGCCATGTTCTCGCAGTTTGATGCGTTCAAGCTGGAGCGCATTGTGGGCAGCGCGAACGTGGGCCAGATGCTGCGGGAGCGCAGCGACACCTTTGTCTTTGAGGAGGACAAGGCGTTTTAGGCCGGTAGAAGGGAGGAAGACATGGAGTCTACTGTCGGTATTTCCAGATTGCATCGCATTGGAACTTTCCGCACGGATCGAAGTGGATCTACAAAAGCATATTGGCGCGTTATTTGGTTCAGCATCTTGCCCGTCATTGTTCCAGGACACGAACGGAGTATCGCATAATCGCATAATAGATACATTGTTTCATAGACGGAGTTTTACTGTATATCTTACATGGTGTATCGAGTTGGTGCTGTACAAATACCAAGACACCCAGTGTCGTTTTCCCTTGCTATCGTTTCTTTCCCTCTGTCCTTCACTTTTGTGCACTGCGATTCCCTCCCGGTCGTTCCCTCTCTCCTCCCCCCCCCCCGCCACCCCCTATCCTACTAACGGCAGGCTCCGTATCCGATCTCCCAGCGTCTTCTTTGGCGGCGGCGGCGGCGGCGGCGGCGGCGGTGGCGTCTGGTTCTTGGGCTCGCCGATGTCGTTGGACAGCGCCTTAGCCGACCTCCGGCTCTTGGGCGGACTCCAGTAGTCGTGTGCAGGCTTGGCCCGCTTCAGGAGCTCGTCGGCGTCGGGCGTGCGCTGCGAGATGATGGGCTCCAAGTCGGCCAGCTGCACGCCGGCCTCGTCGAGGCGCAGCCGCTGCGTCCTGCGGACCATGCGCTCGAAATCGTCCTCGCCGTTCTGGCGGAAGCGCGTGACCTTTTCGCGGTTGCGCTGGGTCAGGTCCGTGTGGTCGCGGCCCAGGGCGCGGTCACGGGCGACGGCCGCAGCCGTCATGGCGAAGCGCATGTCGTAGGGCCCGTCGACGAGCTCGAGGATGGCGGACTGGGCCTGGTCGTCCTTTTTGGGCTCGGTGCGTAGGACCCGCGTGTAGCCGCCGGGGCGGTCGGCGTAGCGGGCCTTTAGCGCACCGAACAGCTTGGGCATTAGGAGATGGGGGGTCTACAGGGTCAGCATGTGCGTATGGGTGTGCGTGTGCGTCAAGTTGTCATGGCGAGCTCTGAACTGTCACTCACGTAAAGAATGGCTTGGGCTTTCCGGCGGGTCTCTTCGTTGTCGCGCTTGGCCAGGGTAATCAGCTTCTCGGCCAGCCGCTGGGCCTCCTTGGCCTTGTGCCATGTTGTGTGTATTGACTCGTGCTTGACGAGCGACGAGACCAGGTTGCGCAGCAGGGCCTGGCGATGTGCAGACGAACGGCTCAGATGCCGGTATTTGACCAGACCACCGGCCATGGCGACGGTGGACGGGGAGGACGGTGCCGGTCGGCAGGACTGGCTGTCTCGTCGTCTCGAAGTCGTACACGGCTCTCCAGGCCAAATTGGCGTCGTACGTCGGCGGGTGGCAGGGGACAAGAAGGCTCGTGTCGTCGACTGCCTCGTGAGGTATGAAGTCGATGCTGTGGAGCACTTTGGGCATCTCGAACTTTTCTCCCACTAAAAGTCGAATCACGTGCGGCTGTTTATTCGCTCCTGCCAAATTGGTGGGTCGGGAATTGCCTCGTGCCTTCTCTGTTCGTTCCTGCTTACAGCTAGCACTCGATGCGCTGATCGTAGTCACTAATAGTGCATTCTCCAGCGTCTTTAGCACGCTGGAGTGCCGCAGGTACCGCTAGAAAGCCGAAAAAATAGCGCGTGTGCGGTGGCCGAATAGCTGCCGATAACGAACATCATCTCCTGGCACGCGAAACCGAAATTCTTTCCGCTTTCGTTTCGTCACCAGAATCCAATACAACGAGACGACCACACACGACACGCTACCGCAGGCATCCAATTGGGCCTCCACGGACGACAAAACCGACGCCTCTCTCTGGCCGACTCAAGCCCTTGTTTTCATTGCCGGCGTCGACACTCAACGCACCGGAGCCATGGGCTTCACCACAGGATTTGTACGACAATTTGCACCTCTCTCCTCGATGTCTACGTCTCCCACTAACCTCGCAGACCGGCGGCGTAACGCTCACGCTCTCGGTGGCCTATCTCACGGTCCTCGCGCACCAGCGCAACCGCCAGCGGCAGTGCGATGTCCTGCGCGCCAACACGACCGTCCTGCGCGCGCTCGCGCTCGCCGACCCCATTACGGCCGCGCGCCTCGCCACGCCCCATGCCGCCGAGACGCCGGCCGACCTCTCGGCGGCGGCCGCCGCACAAGAATTCTACTACCCGTCCAAGGCGGACACGCCGCGGCAGCCACGATCGTCGTTTGTTGAGGAGCTGAAGACGCGGTGGAACGCGGAGGTTGAAGGCGCCGTGCGCAAGGTGCAAACGACCGACTGGGTGGAGGTGCGCGAGAACGCCGAGGGCCGGCTGGGCCAGATCTGGCGGCAGACGTTTGGCGGCGAGGAGGCCGCCGCCACGGCCGCCGCCGCGACAGCCGCGGTCAAGGAACGTGCGGTGGCCGTCACAGAAAGCGTCAAGGCCGAGGCCAAGGACATCCAGGCCACGGCCATTGCGCAGGCCAACGAGGCGGCCGCGGTGGCCAAGAAGGCGGCCAGCCGCGCGGTCGACAAGGGCCGCGAAGTACTGGCCGCCGAGACGAGCAAGGCCCAGACGGCCGCGGCCCAGGCTGCGGGCCAGCTGTCGGAGGTGGAACTGGCGCTGCAGCAGCGCTACACCGGCGCGGCGGAGGATGTGCGGATGAAGAAAAGCGTGGGCGAGCTTCTCGACGAGCGCTACAAGCAGACGGCATGAGTGCAGTGCGTGCCCTGTCCACGGTGCTGTATGATCTGTAAGGATAAGTAACGATAGGGACGGAAAACGGGATAGACGAGGGCGGCATGCATATTTCGCGGTTTCCTGTATATTTTTTATTCGCTTTAATGGCCACACTGCATGGCATAGAGTTTCCCTGTACAGAAGAATACATTTCCTTTGTTCATGCGTTTCGTCTGTCGCCGTTCATGTTGTCGTATTGTCGTTGTTGGCCGGCACTCGCTTACAAGCATACACATACATTACACTTTCCCCCATATGCATAAAAGCGTATCTTGTACACTGTAGTTGGACACTGTTGCAGGCTCCACCAGAGCTGTGTCTGGCCAATCAACACCTCTCCTTTTCTGACCAACGCCAGAGGCGACAAAAGCCGCAAAATCCTCCTCCATACCGCATTGCCGCTCTCAGCAAAGAAGGCACCTTTTTCCTTCTCTCGGCGAATTATCACCACTTTTTGCAGCCCCCAGTCCCCCTCGAGACCGCCCGATTCGCGACGCACGACCACGCACGACAGCGACAGCGACTCTACCGACTGTGGTCAATTGATTGATTGCGACGACAACTGGCCCAAACCGGACAAGAGACCACCGAAAAGAGAACAGCATCCGCCTCGTGTTGTCACCACTCTTGGGGCGTTTCGTCACACAACGTTCATCGCCCCCGCTCTCCGACTTGTTGGCCCTCACCCGCCAACGACGCGCATCTTCCCCCCCTCTCCTCTCCACCGTCACATCCACAGCCATGTCTGCCTCGCTGCGGACAAGGGCCACAGCAGTGCTGCGAGGTCAGTCTTGTCCCACATCGCCGCCCCTCGACGATGCCCTGTTTCCATTGACCCGCGCTGGCCGAGCATATCGATAGTGGACATCTACGTCCATCGTTGTCCTTTCTTATCGTCCGTCTGTTCCTCGTCTCCCAGACTAACTCGTCCCAGCCAAGCCAATGCCCTTTGCCTCTAGCACGACCGCCCTGGTCCCTTTCCGCGCCGCCCCGGCCGCCACCTCCTTCCACACGACCTTCCCTTCCACCGCGCCGCTCTCGTCGTCCGCGCGCCAGAACAACGCTGCCGCCGTTGAGCAGCACCACTCACACGGTGCCACCGGCCTGGCGCGCCGTGAACGGAAAGAGGTGCCGCTGCCCAGCCAGGAAGGCACAAAGGGCCTCGTCCAATACGCACTGTACGTTCGCCGCCGCTCTCCCTCTCTCTCTCTGTTTTCACTTCTTCTCCTGACATGACAGAACCACCCTCGACATCATTGCCAACTGGGGCCGCCAGTCGTCCTTCTGGCCCATGACCTTTGGTCTCGCCTGCTGCGCCGTCGAGATGATGCACCTGTCCACCCCGCGCTACGACCAGGACCGCTACGGCATCATTTTTCGTGCCTCGCCGCGCCAGTCCGACGTCATGATCGTCGCCGGCACCCTCACCAACAAAATGGCCCCCGCCCTGCGCCAGGTCTACGACCAGATGCCCGAGCCCCGCTGGGTCATCAGCATGGGCTCCTGCGCCAACGGCGGCGGCTACTACCACTACAGCTACTCTGTCGTCCGCGGCTGCGACCGCATCGTCCCCGTCGACGTCTACGTCCCCGGCTGCCCGCCCACCAGCGAGGCGCTCATGTACGGCGTCTTCCAGCTGATGCGCAAGCAGCGGAACACGAAGATTACCCGCATGTGGTACCGGAAGTAGACGATCATGCACATCGCCACATTGCGGATTGGCCTTGTGGACGAAACGTATCTGCTACTGGCGGGGAAAGACTGCAAAGTACGAAAAACAAGAGCATCCTTCATCTGACGAGGATGCTGTGCTGGTCCAGGCTTGACATTCCCGGGCTTTTATTTTTGTTGATTTGTGACCATTTTTCCCCATTATTTTTTGTTCCTTCTTTACGCCTCTGCCGTCTCATTTCCTTTTGTTTTCTCGCATTGCCCACCGATTTCGACCACCACATTCACAGTCCTCCATGTTAAATGTACATATATTCTCGGCCCTATTGCGCCTCCAGAGAAATCAAGATGAACGCCAAAAATAAATAAATCACTTTAAATAATCACGCTACGCCTTGTGAGCGTGTTGAGTTTATAGACAACAGCGGACACTTCACGTAAGGTATCATCCATCACACTTAAGCATAGCTAAACGCGGCCAGAGCCAGCATCTACTACGAAACGTATGTAATTAGTATGTTGGGAGGCAACGACTGAGTGACTGTACACGGAGCGACTGCTTTATACAACTGAAGTACAAAAACAAAATAAGAGATTGTGTTGACTAAGCCACCAACCGGTGGGCCACAGGAGGCAAAAGAAAGCAACAAGGGGGGCCAAAGTACAGAAACACAGCATGACAGGATCCAAATTTTGTGCCGTGGGCCGTTCAAAGACGAGGCTCTGCACGTCATGTGTATCGATACGTTCATTTGCTGTAGGCTGACAAGAAAGATGAAAGATGAAGGGGACAACATAAAAGAACACGGAAAGTATAAAAATCAAAATGTAACAATCAAAGATCTGTGGATAAAGGAGATAAAGGGGATAAAAGAACATCAAGGTTGAGAAGCAAAAGCCACAAAACAAGTAAAAACATCCGACGCGCAAGTATGATGGAAAAGCAGTAACGTGTAGCCCAAGAAAAACACGCGCAAGCAAGCGAACGAGTGAAGGAGAGAAAATCAAAATTTAGCACCGGCAGTATCTGAGGGAAGAATAGATATTTGCAATAACGCAAAGGCACGCAAAAGGCGTGGCAACACAACAAGTAAGCACGCTGGTTGCATCTATTCCTGACCAAAACCCATTGTCTCCTCGACAGCAATCGTCATCTTGCCCTGGAGCGTTTCCAAGTTCTTGTACGGAGGGAGGTCCAACCGGTTGAAGCTAAAACATTCTTGTTAGTCATGTCGAAAATGTGCAGACACGGGTGCGTGGAAAGGTGCAAGTTGCATACCAAGTGTGGGCTTTAGGCAAGTTGATGACATCGCCCGCCTTCTCAATCGTGAAGCGCCTTGGACCATCACTGCCCTGCAGGTCCTTGAAGCCGTTGACAGGAATACGTGAGGTTCCTGTCGTGAACTGCAGAAGACGCGACTTTTGCTCGCCGTCCCAGGAGCGCACCGTCTGCCAGAAGAACTGGATCACCTCGTCCGACTCCGTGTAGCCGCGGTAGTCCGTGTGCTTCTTCCAGTCGTCGACGTCAATCTCCGCAATACCGCCAATCAACAGCTCCAGCTCGCGCTCGTCAAAGACGTTGATCAGGTCCTGCGGGATGAGCTCGTTGAAGCCTTCCCGGAACGACTGGAACTGCTCCGAAATGCGCTTCTCGATGCGCCACTTAACCATGAGGTCCACGTACTCCTTTTTGTTCTCGTTGGTCACCTCAATATCCCGGCCGCCGGGGATCAGGTCCTCGACCGTCAGCACGCCGAAGCGCTCGTCTTCTGTCGAGAAGGTCTGCTCAAGAATGCCCCCCGAAATGTCATTGTCCAGGATCCATTGAAGCGAGCGGTGGAAATCAGCGTCCACTCCCTCCATGTCGGCGAGGACGACCATCTTTCCCAGCACCATCTTGTACAGAGCGCCAATAAAGAATGCGTCGAGGAACCGTCGGTGGAAAATAGCCAGACCGACAACACGGCCGATAAACTTGAAGTAGTTGAGATGCTCGGGGTTGATGCCCGAGTGGGGGTTGATCTGCAGAGTGTAGTTGTCGTGCGCCGAGTACTCAAACAGGCAGTAGAAGGGGTTGAACATCTCGTGCGACAGGAGGAAGAAGAACTCGCGAGAAAGACCGCCGTAGTCCAGGCCGTCTTCGCCGTCAAACTTGATCATGAGACGCTTCTTCAGATCGTGCGGCGTCTGTCTCGTAATCTCTGCAAACGAGTCTTCAAAGATGTGCGAGCGGCGCACCTTTATGTGGCACTGCCCAGACAGGATACGCATGGCAGGCTGCGAGCGGAAGTAGATCAGCTTCCTCCGGAAATCACGCTTGTACTGGGGAACGTTCTGATCGAGAGACGATGGCAGACGCGGGTCGTCCCAGGTGGTCGTCTTCGTGTTGTGGTCGACAAAGTACACACGAGCGGTATTCGTGAGACGCATTTCCCAACCACTGGGCAGCGGACCGAGCTGGGATACGGGCTGCTGCTGGATAACGCCATTGGAGCTGTTTTGGCCGCCGTACATGCGAATGTATTGCTGTCGGCGGGGGTCAACCCAAGTCGTGGTCCGCGTGTTGTGGTCCACAAAGTACGCTCTGCCTTCGGGAGTCCATCTCTGTTCCCAACCAGGCGGGAGCTCGCCGGTGCCAGGGCTGGTAGCTCCCGTGTGCATAACCGTGCCAGAACTAGGGCCCGCCGCCGCAGCTGCTGCTGCTGCTGCGTGTTGCTGCTGCTGTGGATGGTCTTGCTGGAGCGACGGTGAGCTGGCGCCCGTACGGTCTTCCGGAAGCGTGCGGTTCTGGTGGCGTTGGCGCTCTACCTGCGTCGCCGCTTCCTGGTTGCTTCTTTCCACCGATCCGTTCGCGGTAGGGCGTGTCCAGCTTGTAGAGCGCGTATTATGGTCCACGTAATACTGTCTACCAAGGTTGTCCTCACGGCGCTCCCAGCCAGGGGGGAGACGGCCAAGGTGATCCTCGAACGGACTCATGGTGCTCGTAGTGCGTGCGTGGAGAGCGGCCGCGGCACCGGCTGCAGCACCACCTGCGGACGAGGCTGCCGCAGCAGGCGGAGCGCCGGCCGGCGGCGCTGTGGAAGTGGAAGGCGCGGGCGCTGCCGAGCCACTTGCGCCGGTGTTGGACGCAACAAGGCTAGCAGGGCGAATCGGGAGTGTCGTAGAGTTGGCGTTTGACGCCCCGTTCACAGATCCAGACATTGCAGATGTCGGTCGGTCGTGGGTTCGAGCGCCTGAGGCTGCGAGTGATGTACTATTGACAGACGCACGGCTCGATCCGGACGCCGCAGCAGCAGCTGGTTGCAAAGAATTGGATTGCGAGTTCTGTTGAGGTGCCTGATGCTGGCGAGGGGGAGAGGTTAAATCGGTCGACAGGTTCAGAATCAGCTTTCCGTGGACAACGAGGTTATCGGTCGATTTCTTCAAGTCGGGCGCGAGCATCTGGTCTGTAAAATTGAACGTCCTGGTTAGAAGCAATGAAGATAATGAAGATTTATAAAAGGTCGACGCAAGGGCAGGTTTCCATTCATCAAAATTTCCACTCACCATCTGATTCAGCCAACAGTTCGACGGAGTCACCAACACGAATGTTCACGACGCCCAAGAAGCCCTGGTCCTTCTTCTTAAATTTCCGCTGGTCAAAGACTTGGACCGCGAGTATGCTGTCTTCGTTCACGCGACTAGAGAAGAGTGGTCAGCAAATGGAGGATTCCAGCAGGGCAAAATACGATAATAAGGTGGAATACGCACAAGTCGAAGCTTTCGTTCCAGTAGGGGTTGAGCGTTCTCTTGCAGACTGCAGTCGTCTTGGTCTGTTCGCTGTTGATCGTTGCGACGGCGAAGGGGTCGGGAAAGCCTTTCAAGAAGCAAATTGTGTCAATAAGGTTCAGATACGTGTCTGGAAACAGTGAATATGCCACTTACGGAAAACGTCGCGCTTGTACAGTCCATCGGCAGCGATGACTAAATGGATGTTGGTCAGAACACGAGGCACAAAAGTGGCTTTTGGCGCCGCGGGGTACGCAGCCCAGGGGTTTCGGAAAAAACTTGATGATGCTGTCACGATGGAAGAAACATACTTGTGACACGAAGGTTGGGTTGGCTGCAGTTCGAAAGTAGAGGTTAGCATGATCCGAATGGCGATCAAGGGACCGTGGTCTTCATCTACGTCCACGCAGAGCACAAACGATGCCAGACACCGACAGCGCCCGGGAGTAGTGACGTGGCTGTGGGCAAGGCTGATCGCGAGAAGGTACCACAGAGAAGAAAGGCTGAACTCACGCAGGAAGCCCGGAGTCCATCCGGCTGTTTGCCATGACGAGACGTGGCGTGGTAGATGCAATCGATGCACCTGTGTATGGAAAGGCGGCGGTCGAGTCGAACACGGGCGGGGAGACCGATGCAGTTTCGATCGGTGATGGCTGGAAAAGCCAGCAGAAAGACGATTGCTCAGCGTGCGGCAGGCGGCAGCGAAGGGGTCGGCGAAATGGTCAGGAGCAAGATAATACGCCAACAGGGCGTGGGTGTGTCGAAAGGAGGTACGAGCAATGCAGGGCGCAGACGACGGGAGGCCGCTGGAGGAGAGAGAGAGTAAGATACGGTGGAAAGCGGAGAAGGTTCAGAAAGCGGCAGGACGATGTGATAGGCAGCGAACAAAGGCAGTCTTTAGGTGTAGTTCCCCCCACTTTCTGCAGGATACCGTCCTAAAGCGAAAGCAGTTGCTGGTCGAACTCGGACTTCACAATACGCAGACGCAGGGGAGAAGACACGAGAAATGCTGCGTTGTAGACTGGTTGAAACGTCAAAAGTCCAGAGGCCGGAAAACGATGTGGTTTGAGAATGTTTGATTCGTAATTATTTCTCGTAGCAAGTTGACGATTCAGGGCCTAGCATCAGTTGGGGTGTGGTCGGCAGGATGTGTGTGGTGGGTATCGAATGGGTAGTAGCAGAGTGCTGGTAGCGTTGAGGCTGTGCTGCTGTCCAGACCTGCGCCTCGCTACTGTGCAGCAGCTCTGGAGG